TTACAGAGAAGTCCCAATATTTTGGGTTAGTTTACGAAATAGTCCCAAATTAATTTTGTACCGGTTTCAACCGGTCAAAAAGGGTTAAACTGCAAATTTTTGCCCGTTTTCAGGACTTTTTCGTTCAAAAAAAAAATATTGAGACTAAAATGTAACTTTTGCATAAATATTGAGACTTTTTGAAGATTTCCCTAACATCAACCATCATATTGTGAATACAAATACATAATAATTATAAGAACTAAGAAAGAAAAAACCTTTCTTCCTCTTTTATGAGCTAGTAGTTTTGTTGCATTTTTAGAGTTCGTATCCAATTGTTTTTCAAACATATTTACTTCCAACAAATTGCTTCCCTTTGATATTTTAACAATCGGACTAAACAATCATATTTTACCAATCATTATACAATATCAAAACTAATAATGTTAAATATTTTTTTTCAATTTATCTTGTTGAATACGTTATTGCATTTAATTAGTGAAAGCCTTTTGTTACATTATGCTTTAAATTAATTATAGCATGTCTATATGTAGCAAAATTATTAAAATAATAAAAATTGTTTTACATCTTAATCCACCTTACCTAGAAACGTGCTGTTTTAAGTTTACTTTGAGCCTAAAACTTGACGCTCATCAGTCATTATTGTGATTTTTAAACAAAACCGGAGGCATGGATCGCGTCCACGGTTTTCTCAAATAAACTCTGAAAATACATTGGAGCCCCCCAACTTCCATTAATTGACAATAATATCAAACATGATAAAATTAACCACAAAATAGTCATAATGTACATTTTTATTTGAACAGATTTACGTGATTTTTATTGAACTTAATAACCTTAATGAAAAAATAAATTAACTTAATTTATTTTCTTATACCTTTTTTCCTTATTCATTTTTTATCCACATGAAGCAAGAACATGGTGTAGCATGAAAAGCAGAAGTAAAAGTGGGTAAAAACAGAAACAAATTGAAATCATAGGGACCTTTTATGTAACAATCTTACTTCCATAGCCAGCAAGAGCAAATTCTATCTCTCGGGCAACAGCGAATTCTATCTCTCGGGTAAACATCACCACCACCATCATCACCCCTCGTTTCACCTCCGGGCGCCGCGGGAAAGCGTCCAAGAGTACTACTGTTGAAGGAATCGAAAAGAAGTCCATCGAATCATTATCATTATTTAACTCGATGTGCCTTGTATGAAAGAGCAACGAAAGCTCTTTCGCTTCCTTCCATGGCGATTTAAACGAAGCAACTGAGATTCTCTTCCTCCATTTCAACTTCTGGGTATTTACTCAACTTAACTCCATCTTTTCTCAATTTCATTTCTATATTCTTTTGTGGGCTTTTGACTATTCGAGCTAACTTCAAGCACGAACATCGATTGATCGGTAACTATCTATGGTTTTTTATTGTTACTGTTGCTCGATTTGAAAATTTACTTGTATTCGTGGGAAGCTACTTACTTTAATTTTGGGGAAGAAGGGTTTATTGCATTTGCATTCGATCGATTCTGGTTTGACCTGGAATGAAATGATGTGTTGACTAGATCATTAAATTTGATTTTGTTCGTCATTTTATTTGTCCATTCCATCAGGGGATGAAAAAGTAGAATCAGATTCCTTTCTTACATGGCAAACAAACAAGATCTTTCACTATTTCATAATCCTCCATTCCATTCAAATGCAGGAACTACTTGATTCGTGGAACATAATCATCTAAATGATCTTGTTCTATCATCTGGATTAAAAGAAAAAAAACCCAAACTTTTGGCTTCAAATATGTCGATCATAACAAAGTTGAGATGTATCACTGTCGATGTTACTGGCACTTTAATGGCTTACAAGGGAGAGCTTGGTGACTACTATTGCATGGCTGCTAAATCTGTAGGGCTTCCATGTCCAGATTACAAAAGGGTTCATGATGGATTTAAAATTGCTTACACAGAAATGGCAAAAAAATATCCGTGTTTTGGACATGCTGAGAAAATGCCCAACATTGTATGGTGGAAAACTTGTGTGAAAAATTCATTTGTCAAGGTATGAATATGATAATATCATATGATTAACCTTTTATGAACTTTTTAGTCACTTCTTTCATTCATCTGTTAGACATGACATGACAAAACTGATTTGGTGAAATATTTGAATGAGAGTAAATGACTATTTTACCCTTTTGTCTGGACTGTTTGTTTAGGCAGGATATGATTTTGATGAAGAGACATTTGAGAAAATATTCAGGCGTATATACTCCACCTTTGGTTCTGCTGCACCTTACACAGTATTCCCTGATTCTCAACCGTTTTTAAGATGGATTCGTTCACAAGGTGTGACAGTTGGAATTGTTAGCAATGCAGAATACAGGTATCCAGATGTAATTCTTCCAGCTCTAGGCTTACATGAGGTTAGTTGTTTTGTTTTCTTTTGAAATATAGCTTTTAACATAGTCAATTCCTTCATATTTTGGTCAATGAGCAGAAAAATTAGAAGCAAAAACCATGAAATTTGAATGAGTTTTAGGGTTCTATTACTGTGACTCAGTCATGTTTTTAGGATTGAATACAAAAAATAGCAACTTACTTTCATTTATTTGTTACATATAGCATCCTACTTTCATTTTTTCTTATTACAACATTGTACTTTAGTTAATCTTTCCAAATATAGCAATGATATCCAAAAAGAAAGCAATTTTCACTGCTATAATTAGTAAGAATTTTCAAAGTACAATTACTTAATAAGAAAAAAACTAGAAGTACAACGCTATATTTTGGTAGATTTTTGAAAGTAGAATGCCTTTAATAGAAAAATATTGTAATAGAAAGAAATGAAAGTATATTATCCCTTCTTTTTCCCAAAAGTGAAAATGTGGTCATGATAAATGATATTAAAAAAATATTTGAGAAAAAGTAAACGTGTGAGAATTTTTAAAAAGTTAAAAAGCCCGTTTTCCTTGACTTTTTGTATCAAGTCGTGTCTGTATTAATTCAAAAAGAAACACTCATATATAGGTTACATTTTAACACGTGTTAACAAAATGACGTGATACAATAAAATCATTTTGTTGGCATTTGGAATTTCAGGGATCCGAATGGGATTTCGGTGTATTTTCGGGCCTTGAGGGCATTGAAAAACCGGACCCGAAACTATACAAAATTGCTTTAGAAAGGGCGGGAAATATAGCACCCGAAGAAGCTTTGCACATTGGAGATAGCATGCGAAAAGACTATTTACCTGCTAAGAGTATTGGGATGCATGCATTGTTGTTGGACCGCTTTAAAACTCCGGATGCCTTGGACTGGAAGAAATCCGGTGCCACCGTGTTGCCGGACCTTGTGGCGGCACGAGAGTGGTTGGCATCTCACCGTATTTGACTTCTTAATATTGATTGTATTTATTTACTAGTGAGGGAGATGATTGGTGTTGTATGAAAAAGGCAATAGTTGATATTCTTGGTAGTTATGTTTAAATGTACTTTGTTTGTACTATTGTGTTTTGTTTGAATGATAATAGTAAGGAAAAAAATATATTTTAACAAAAGATAGAGAAAAATAGGGGTGGATTGGGTTGAGTCATTTTCTTGTTGATCTGTTTAATTGATATGTGTTTAAGTAAACGGTTTTGAGATTTTCCAACCAATCCCAATCTTTTTATTAAATGAGTTGAAAATGGATTGATCCGTTTATTTTTTCAACCCAACATGTTTAACAAATTTCCAAAAAACCTTAAAAATTCAATAATCGTTTAAATAAAATTTCATAAAACTTACAAACACCGGTAAGTGTTCAAGTTTGAAAATAATATAACCACAACACAAACGCTAAATCAAGTGTTTACAAAACATTATAAATGTTTTATTACTAAAATCTATGCAATTTGATTTTCAATTTCACCAACTTGACTTCCACTTTTAGCTTTGATCATATTCCTTGTAATAGCTCACCCTTTTCATTGGATTCAAGAATGTCAAAGTAGGTCTAACAAACATGATTGCTTGGGTTTTTGAGATCTTGAGTCGTGACTAAGTGGGGGCCGAGAGTAAGATGAAAGAGAAGGATTACTAGTAGCGATTAGGGTTCGAGATTGGACTAAGTTTCAGTTACCTTGTGCGACTTTCTTAATATTAGATTTAGGACCCTAAGTTCATTCGCAAGATGGAAGAGAAGGTGGAGGCCGATAGTAAAAAAATGGTAATCCTCTCCTTCCGAGCAACCCATATCCACCCGTCCCAAAGCCCACATGGGTGACCAATCGTAGAACACTAGAAATATTTCGGGTGTGTCAGGTTAAAACCGTAGACCTACTATGTGAAATTCCGCACCTCAACCGCTAAGCTCCTAACGTGGGGGTATAGAAGTTTTCAAGTATATAATTTAACAAAACTACAAGGCTAAAATAAATCTACAATTGCTTAGAGGCCGATAGTAGCAATTAGGGTTATGTGAGACAATAAGAGTACCAAGCATGCAACTAATTGACCAAGGATGTACGCAACTTGGGTTAGTACTTAGTTGTATCATGTATATTTTTAGTCTTTCCAACACTTTAAATTGTTAAATAATTAATTACAAAGTAATACTCAATAAATATAAATTAAAATTATTTAAAAGTCTTAAATGGATTGGCGGATTGAAAATAAGTTGAGAATTTCAACCGTAACACAACTCATTTAATAAATTAAACTAACCGGTTGAACCGTTTAATTAAATGGGTTTAAAACCAAAATAATAGCACGATGTGGATCGGGTTTTAATGGAATCATCCTTCATAGATAATTTATTTTGATACATTTATTTGAAATAACATGATAGAGCATATGATATGATGATGAGTACATGGCTATCATTTTCGGACTATAAAACACAAAGTGGCTAGCAGTAGCATAACAAACATAGTAATAGCCGGCAACCTTTAAATAGACATGATAACCTCAAAGGGTTATATGTTCCTTATTTCATAGTACGTACGTATTTCAAAGGTTATTTGGTCCTTATTTCAAACTTTCAAGCTTTCAAATAGACACCAATGCAATCGAGATAATAGCCAGCAAGCCCGTAAAATCCAACAAAAGAACCACCATCCCATGGTACAGGGAAAGGCGTTCCTCTTACGTTACCAAAAGGTCCATGAGTTTTCTTGTTTGTGATGAATGATATTGATGATATTATAGGTAAGTCAGGAACACTTCCCCTTGATAATGCACTTGTTCCACTGATGCCAGTTATTTCCTCGTCAGCTTCAAATATTACCTGACCATGAATGACAAATTGAACATATCAAAGATACCTAAGGATACTAAGAGACATGTTATATCAATCATTATAAAGAAACTTGAAGATTAAATACTTATGAATTGTTTACCTCAGAAACTGTCTCTCCACCATTCCAACCACCAAACTTTGCAGTAGTATGTGTTGAGTCTCCACATTGTGTGGTGAAGATGAGAGAGTATATCAGATCACCATGATCAATGGTGATCTTCTTCAGATGATGTTTTTTCTCAAGTTGGAAGGACCAAACATTTTGCGGAGTTCCAGGTTCATTTTTCCCCCATGTTCCAACCCGTATGATTTCCTCATAGGCTTTTAGATACACACCAATGGCATCAATGTAATAGCCAGCAAGCCCATAAAACCCAACTAATGAGCCTTTGTGCCATGGTAAAGAAAAAACATCTTCAGTTGCATGACCAAAAGGTCCATGTTTCCTCTTGTTTGTCAAATTACTTGATAACCACTTTTACTACCAACGGATCCACCAACCTCGACAATTTCCTCATCTTCGTCAAAGAGTACCTGATTAATCAATCCACCAAGAATATTGATTAATGAAAAGATGGCTACATCTTAATTGATTAGTGGAGTTAAGAGATCAACTCACCTCGGAAACCGTGTCTCCACCATTCCAACCACCAAACTTGTCGGAATTGTGCAAAGCATCTCTATATTTAGTTGTGAACATGAGAGAGTATATTACATCACCATGGTCAACGGTTATCTTCACCAATTTATGATCTTTCTCAAGTTCAAAAGACCATTCATTCTGAGGATCTCCACTTTGTCTTCCCCATTTTCCGACTTGAATAAATCCTGCTACTTTGCTACTTTCTACTCCTGCCATGAGAGACACAGTAAGTATAAAATAACTTAAATGAAACAAGGAAGCGTGTCTCTCAAATGAATGACCAATGGCTCCTTATATACATGCTAACCGTAACTATTTTGAATCGTTAATTTAGATGGAAATAAAAAGCATGAAGCAAAACCATGTTTTCCTCAAGTTCACTGGTTAAAAAAAGTTGGTAGTTAATTCATATCAAAATTAAATGATAAAGTTTAATTGTCCTTGCATTTTTCATGCAAAAAAAATATTTCATAACTTCAATGTTTGCTCACAAATAAAAAATCAAGAAGGTGAGATATACTAGAATTTTCGAGTAATTGTTGATCTCTGGTGCGATTAAGTTGTTGTAAATACACCAATAATCAAATCGACAAATAATATTGAGAATTATATGTCAATTTGTCATGGATAATAAATTCAATTGTTAAATAATTACCAAGTTCCGTCTGGATTATAAGAAAAAATTAAAACAAGACAAAAAATTAAAACCAACCTGATGTGATATGTGATGTTCCATAATCTTGAAAAAACTGCACGGAATGACTCCGGTCCTTAAAGGTTTTTACTTAGTTGTAGGTTGCAAGCTTCAACATAAAATCCTAAGATTTAATGCAGATTACCACCGTTTGTTCCAACAACTATAGAAGAACCGATAAACGTAAATTGGAATTTTGTTGTTGCAAAATCGCAGGAGAGACAGCAGAGCGAAGGACTTGCTGTAAAAAATACATCATCAGGGGAGTTGTATTTATAGTTACAGAAATACTAAAAGATTGCCAAAAAACAGCTGTAATTATAGAAAAAACAATGTTATTAGAACCTGTGGTTTCTAAAATATGGCAACCTAACGACAACGTTGAAAGACACTACATTACCGGTCCTTATGGTTTTAAAATCTTGCATGGTTGGTGTTTTTGGTTAACACTTCTGTTAAGTCTTATGTAAAAAGACTTTTGTGTCCGTGGGCCAAAATTATTAAAAGACAAAATTTGCCAAAATTATTAAAAGACAAAATTTCACAAATGGTCAATGCTGTTTCCAAAAAATGTCACTTTCAAGATATCTTTGGAAATAGTTACAATGATGGTCCTTGTGGTTTCAAAATCAAGCACAGTTAGTCCTCACTCATATGATTTTCCTCCCCAAACGCCACCACGGCTATACCCTTTCTCATCTCTTCTTCCAGTGTCTCGATTTGGAACAGGACAACAAACTGAAATACAAATATTGAATCATTTTAATGGAATTATAAACTGTCAAGTATGAGAAAGAAATTAGGACTTGAAAATTTTATTGAAGCCACTAACTGATTAGAGTTTTTTTTGTTTGATCATTAGTGGACGTCCATCTGCTCGAATTTTTTAACTGTTGGATCAATTGACCTCCTTCCTTTTAGAGGTAGTTATTTTTAGATCCATTATTTACCAAGGCTAAACAACATTAAAGTATAATCCGTTAAAAACACAAATCAAATATGTACATTCATCGATGAGATTTTTTTTGATAAATATGTATTTCCGTGGTGTAGGTACAATACCAATTTAGTCATTCACTTTTTTAATACTAAGAAAAATTTAATATTGACATCTGGAACATATTTTGTGCAGGAAACAAAATGTACGAACTCAACGAAGCAATGTGATTCTACAAATGCAAGAAATTTTTATGAGAAACAGATACAAATTCATGCACCTACAGCAAATTAGAAACTAAGTTTTGATTGCGAACAAAGAAATCACATCCTCTGGATGTAAGGGTGAATCTGGAACAAGAACAGGCTCGACATCCCTAATCCCATCACATTCCAATCTCTTAAACACAATGTCAATGTTAATCCCAGCATCTGCATTCGTTTCTTCATAATATCGTTTGAATGAATACCAAGAAGTGACCTAGCTATTGTCATCTCTCAATTCAGTAGATCATGGTATGTGGATGAAGAAAAATGAGGTGTGTAATGTAGGGGTGGATATGTTGGGTTAATCCATTGGCACTTGGCTATAGGTTCGAAGTAGTATACAGTTTGGGGGTTGGGTTGTACTTGGCTGTTATTCGGGGACTATATGGAGGGTTGATCGGGGAACCAGAGTGCCACAGGAAATTAAAGGGGTCTGGTGGTTGTTGATGCATCACCGGAAGAATGTGAGGGAGCAAGATGTTTTAGTGGTGGCGGATTTGCCGTATATGTATGATTCCACCGATGACGGTGGTGACTAGATTTGATTTGGATGACAGAAGAGACGGTAGGTTTTGAGATCGACGAGAGTAGTAAAGTTGAATAAAGGGAAGGGTTATTTGTTAAGTGTAAATAATTTAAAAAAAGGTAAAATGATAAAAGATGGGTAAATAGGTCATTTTAAAAACATTGAGCACTAGGTGTAAGACCCGTGTATTACACGGGTTTTTAAAAAAATAATATCAAGTTGTAACATTAAGCAATTTTTGGTGTAATACTTTGTTGATAATTTTGAATTTTATTACAACACAAGTGGCGGTAAAAGATTCTTGTTTATTAGGATAGAAGATGGACATGACATCATATTTGCATTTTTATCCTTTAATAGCAACATACTTTCATGTGTATCACAAAATGACATCGTACTTTCATTTCTAAACTTTCATCCATATAAATCGCAGTTTACATAACATGTCACATCAATCTGTAAATTAAAAAAAAAATGATTGAAAGGATATAACAATGAATGGAATTACTAACCTGTTGTGGTACTTGGTATCTTAATGGTGATTTTAGAGAGCTTGATATTAACACTTAATGGAATTACGAATTCATATAATTGAAAGACATACAAAATTCCATGATTAGAAGGAAATGACTATACATATGTCAGGAATCTATGACAATTACGTACAAAAGCAATGTCCGAAATAACTGGTCCGGAATGTGGCACCGAAATAGCTGGCCGGAACGTGGCTCTGGAACAATGGTCCGGAATAGCTGGTCTGAATACTGTCAGGAATCTATGACATTTACTGTTCGGAATAACTATACATATGTCAGGAATCTATGACTTTTACTATTCCGAATGACTACACATATATGTTAGGAATCTAGGACAATTATTGTTCCGAAATTAGGGTCCGAAATATCAATTCCGGAATGTGGCTGTAGAATGTGTTTCTGGAATAGTGTCAAGAACCATAACCCTAGTAAATGTCATTATATAAAGGAATTCAAACATCAAAACTCTTTACCTTGTTAAATTTACTACTAAAAATTATTTTCTCATAATCCAAAGAAATGACATACCGCGATTGTGGCTCTGAAGGTATTATAAGGACATCAACGACTAGAAATAACCTTGGACGGCTTGTTTACGCTTGTCCTAAAGAGGTACATGGGTTATCCTTTTGTTATTTTTCTTTAAATTAATATTAATTTACATAATATACGTCATGTGTTTGATCTTAAATTTTCAGGGACCATAGTCTGGGTTTATCAGTTGGGTTGAAAAAGCAAAAGACAATAATTCGTTGATAATCAGTAACTTATTTTGATCGAAGAAGAAACTTGAAACCCAAAATATTCACTTGAAGATAGCATTAACTTCTAGTTGGATTTTATTTTTTGGAATCATTGTGTACAAGTTGTAAGCTTTATGTTCATCAACTAAGTTTCCCTTCTGTAACGCTTATTAATATTTTTAATATGTAATGTTTGGTTGTTTGTTAGTATTACTATGGTACTTGTAAATTACGTTTTTTATATCTTTGTAATATGTAACTGTTGTGACATGCTCTACAGGGGTTTTGATGCCGGATGATGGATCTTTCCTGGAAGCTTTCCTGAGAACACAACACAGAAGAATCATTAAAGGACGTCTGGGTGTTCTCCCGGGATGTCACTCCGACGATCAAGTTAGTTTTTTGAGAGAGAGAATTTTAGGGTAAAATTTGTGTGGGAGAAGATGGATCCCTTCCTTGAGGCGGAATAGATCCTTTTATACCTATTACTAACGGATCGTGGGAACCTCGTCTAATGAGTGTGAGACGTGGCATCCTCTGAGTTGGAGAATCACGTACATGTTAACTAACTTCCTGGTGACGTCACTTCTGGGTGTCACCTAAGCTTCTTGTCACGTCCTGATTGGTCGTGAGTGAATGAGAAGATCACAAGGAATATTCTTTCCTCGTGGAGGGAAATGAACTGCACCCCGGTCCTGGATTATTTAGGCCAAGGTCGGGCCTTGGCCAAGATTCTGGCGAGATAACGTCTCGTTTGCACGTTCTGTTACATTTAACGTGGCCGTTCATGGTAATGTTAACAAGTCCCTTAAACCAGTGGGCTTCTGCGTTCATGACGTAGCAGAGTTGTTCTAGTCTACTCATAGACACGTGGTGGGATGCTACTGATAGCTTATCCAGTTGTTAGGGCGAAATCGTCGTTCTTCGTCGGTTTCATCATGAAAACAGTTCGCTCCCCCTTTAATGGTATTTAAACCTTTGTTCGTCCTGGCGTTTCCTCCTTACTTTCTACTTTTCTCCCTTTGACTTCTTGCCCCAAAGAAACCTTTTCGATCCTTTCTTCATATTTTTCCATGGCTACCGCTCGTCCGTTGGGAAGAGATCTTACCACCCGAGGAAAGAATGGGAATCTCTTGAGTTCCGATTCGGGTTCGTCCCCGAACACGGAGTGCAAATCCCCCTTCCTGATGCAACGCTTTACAGTCCTCCCGAGGGTAAAGTCGGCATTCCAATCTCCTTTTTTGAAGCGGGTCTGGATTTGCCTACCACAGAATTCTTCAACCTGATTGAAAGAACCCCTTTCTAAACTTTCATATTTCTGAAAGACCCAAACTTTCATACTTGACAATTGTTACTCCAAAACATGCTACATGCATATTTATAAAACAATATTTTACATTGATAAAGTGATTACAAAAAATTGGATACAAATCGACTATGTTTTAATATTTTACATAACTATCCAGGATATTGTAATTTTATACAAACATAAAACGAAATACAAAAGTAATAGT